ACTTGTCTGCGGACAAGCTGTCCTCCCGTGCTGTTCCTTGCGTCTTCCTCGGCTTTCCCCCTGACGCGCCTGGTTGGCAGTTTTACCACCCCACCTCGCGTCGTGTTCTGTCCTCCCAGGACGTCACGTTTGACGAGTCGGTTCCGTACTACCGTCTCTTCCCCTACCGCACTGCCCCCCTCCCCCCCCCGCCGCTCTTCCTCGCTCCCGGTCCCCCCCCGGTAGACCCCCTCCCCCCTCAGGGTCCTGCCCCCTCAGGTGTGTCCCAGGTAGATGCAGTCGAGCCTGTCGAGGTAGCTGCTGACTCTGGTGCGTCTGGGGGTGCTGAGCCTGAGCGTGTGTAGCCTGGGGGTGCTGGGTCTGGGGGTGCTGAGCCTGAGCGTGCGGGGCCTGGGGGTGCTGCTTCTGGGGGTGCTGAGCCTGGGGCTGCTGGGAGTGGGGGTGTGGAGCCTGTCGGTGCTGGACCTGGCGGTCCTTCGGGTGCTTTGTCCCGGCGGGAGCTTCCCTCTCCACAGGAGCTGCGCGAGTGGTTTGCTCGCCGCTGGAGCCGTGCTGCTGGAGCTGGAGGTGCTGCCGGTGCTGGAGGTTCTGCTGCTGCTGGAGGTTCTGGAGCTGGAGGTGCTGCTGGAGCCGGTACTGGAGGTTCTGCTTCTGCTGGGGGTGCTGGAGCCACGGGTCCCGGAGGTGCTCGTACTAGAGGTACTGGAGCTGCTGGGCCTGGTGGTGCTCCTGGTGCTGGAGCTACTGGTGGAGCTGGAGCTGGTGGTGCTGCTGGAGTGGGTGCTACTGGAGGTACTAGAGCCGGAGCGGCTGTGTCTGCTGGTGGTCCTGCTGGAGCTGGAGCTGCTGGAGGTACTGGAGCTGGTGGTGCTGCTGGAGTTGGAGCTGACGTTGGGGGTACTGGTGTTGTCCCTGCTGGTTCTGGAGGTGCTGCGCGGCCGCGGCCGTACTTCGTTCCGCTCCTTGAGCAGGTTCTTGGTCTTCCGCCTTCTCCTAGTCCTGCTCCTTCCTTAGAGTGTCCTCCGCCTGTCCAGTCCGAGTCACAGTTACAGCTGGTCTCCCCTCTGCCTGCTCCTTCTCCCTACGCTGGTCCTACTGGAGGTCTTGCTGAGCGTCGTGAGCCTGAGTCGCGTCCTGCGTCGCCTGTTCGTACTGCTCGCACTAGTCGTCGTGTTCCACGTCCGCGTCCTCCTGCAGTCCCGGGCACGCATCAGATGGCACTGCGTCCTTCCACTGCGCCACAGCGTGTCCCTTTGCCGTCTCCTCCAGAGTCCTCTCTTCCTGCTCTTGCTGACCCGGCGTCTGACTCCCTTCGTGCTGCCAGTCCTGCTGTCACGCGTTTCCTAGCCACTGTTGTCACTGACCCTTCCTTTGAGTCCACTGCTGCGTCTGCCTTAGTTACCGAGCTTGTCGACTTCGCTGCTCACTATCGTCTAGACTACGCCGCTAGTCTTGTTGCTGAGTCAGCGTCTGCGTCTGTCTGTCCTCCGTCCGTCGGGGGTGAGTGTGCTCTCAGCACGGACGTCCTTGAGGACCGACAGGAGGAGTTCCAGTGTTTTGCTGCTGCTTTACCTCATCTCGTGTCCACGCTGCTTGCCCCTGAGGGAGACCCGGATGCACCAGACATCCCGACCCCGCGCTCTTACGCAGAGGCGATAGAGGGTCCTTACTCCTCTCAGTGGCAGGCAGCCATGGACGCAGAGATGGCTTCCTGGAAGTCCACAGGCACCTACGTCGACGAGGTTCCCCCACCTGGGGCGAACATCGTCAGTGGCATGTGGATCTTCAGGGTGAAGCGGCCGCCGGGTTCTCCGCCTGTCTTCAAGGCGCGTTACGTGGCTCGAGGCTTCAGTCAGCGGCAGGGAGTTGACTACTTTCAGACCTTCTCCCCGACCCCGAAGATGACCACTCTTCGGGTTCTGCTGCACGTTGCTGCTCAGCGTGACTACGAGCTTCACTCCCTTGACTTCAGCACTGCTTTCCTACAGGGCAGTCTGCACGAGGAGATCTGGCTGCGCCGCCCACCTGGCTTCACTGGGTCGTTTCCTCCTGGTACCCAGTGGAGCCTCCGGCGGCCAGTCTACGGTCTCCGCCAGGCGCCACGTGAGTGGCACGACACACTGAGGACTACGCTTGCGGCTCTTGGGTTTGCTCCTTCCACTGCTGACCCGTCGCTGTTTCTTCGCACCGACACCTTACTGCCGTCGTTCTACATCCTCGTGTACGTCGACGACTTGGTGTTTGCTACAGCTGACACTACTGGACTCGCCCACGTGAAGTCCGAGCTGCAGAAGAGACACACGTGCACAGACCTGGGTGAACTGCGCAGCTATCTTGGCTTGCAGATCACCCGGGACAGAGCACGGTGCACCATCACCCTGACTCAGTCACACATGGTGCAGCAGGTCCTTCAGCGCTTCGACTTCACGTACTCCTCGCCTCAGGCCACTCCTCTGTCTACTCGCCACTCGCTCTCAGCTCTGCCTTCGGATGAGTCCGTAGAGCCGAGTGGCCCGTACCCAGAGCTTGTTGGCTGCCTCATGTACCTGATGACCTGCACTCGACCTGACCTAGCATACCCTCTGAGCATTCTGGCGCGCTATGTTGCTCCTGGGAGACACCGACCAGAGCACATGGCTGCAGCGAAGAGGGTGTTGCGCTACTTGTGCAGTACTTCGGGCTTGGGGCTAGTGCTTGGAGGGCGGAGTCCAGTGGTCCTCACTGGTCACGCAGACGCGTCTTGGGTGGACGACCTGGCTACGCAGCGGTCGTCATAGGGTTACACCTTCAGCCTTGGTTCCGGCTCTGTTTCGTGGCGGTCTACCCGCTCGTCTTCTGTTCTCAGCTCCAGCTGTGAGGCTGAGATCTACGCAGGGGCCATGGCTGCACAGGAGTTACGCTGGCTCACCTACTTGCTGACTGACCTGGGAGAGCCGCCTCGTTCTCCTCCAGTTCTGTACGTAGACAACAAGGCCATGCTGGCCTTGTGTCGGGAGCACAGACTGGAGCACAGAACGAAGCACATTGCTCTTCGCTACTTCCTTGCTCGTGAGCTGCAGCAGCGTGGCCAGCTGCGCCTTGCTTACGTGGCCTCTCAGGCCAACACTGCTGATATCTTTACCAAGGCACTTCAGCCTTGTGATCATCAGCGCTTCTGTACTATGCTAGGTCTTGTGCCTACTTGGCCTCACTTGCTCACCTCTTGACTTTGCTTGTTCTGTGATCTATATATACCTGTACTTGCTTGTTTACCTTTATATATGAACTTGCATGTGAACTGGCCTTGTGGCCTTTGAACCTGTGCTCAGACTGTGTGGTGACGTTGTGATCCACCCTGAGCTTGCTTTGCTTTGCTTTGCTTGACTGGTCTTGTGACCCCTAGTTCTCCCCCACTTTGCCTATGGGGGTGTGTCAGATATATATGCCTTAGGCTGTAGTGGGGTAGATACTAAGGGGTACAGCTTTCATATTTGTATCTCACACTTTCCTAGTTCATCCATTCCTGTTGTTCCTTTCACAGACATGTATACGACACATCACGTTGGGAAACACACCTGCACGAACCAATCTAACAGGTGTACAGATAAACGTGCGACAGCAGATGCATCGTCGCACACTCCCCCCTGCACACTAAGCTTCACAACTCTCAGAAATATGAGACACTGAACACTCAGCTTTGACAAAATGCGCAGGTTCTTCAAGTGTTTTACCGTACACATGCCACGTCCTAGATTATAGCTAGCATTGAAAAGTCAGTCGCGATCAATCTGAGAGAAGAACCCGTGCGCCCATAGATCTGAGCGTGTACGCTGCCGGTGAGCGCGTGCACAAATCACTTCAAGCAGCGCGCACCCAGCAGTAAGCAGCGCGCACCCAGCAGTAAGCAGCGCGCACCTCGCAAACAGCATAGTGGGACCCGCTGTAGCCATCACGCGCCTACTGAGCTTCAGCGCGCACTCGACTGTAGGCATCTGGCGCCTACGTAGCATCTGCGCGCGCACCACTGCGCTTTCACGCGCCTCCTAAGCATAAGCGCGCGCACCGGCGGTATGTGTCAAACGCCCGCAAAACACCCCTGTGCGCGCAAACCGCTGTAATTCCACGTGCCTCCCTTTCCCATAAGCGCAAGCACCGCTGTAGGCACCACGCGCCTACTAAAGCCCGCAAAAATAAACAAATCAAGCGACTACATCACATCAACGCCGCCTCACCAGCACCTATGCCACAGGGGGGAAAAAAGGTGCGTAGGGAGGGTGAAATGTTGTTGGCAGGGAAGTAGCAGCCTTAGTAGGCTAGGAAAACGAGTATAGAGTGCTCTCTGGAGTTCTCTGGAAATTGCACTATGACTTCACAAATTTGACAGTACAATTTTATAGAGCACATTCAAACATCGAGTCGCACTCCCAAGTCGCGACTCTCTCTGAATTTCTCGATGGTAACCCAACCCTTTGAAATGAACCTGCCGTGAAATTCAGAGAATTATTGCTGTACGGGATTGGGCGGCGAGCTTGGTTACGGGGCTGTAATTTCGTCGGTGTTGTTGGCGAAGTCGGCGAGCGGTCGGAACTTCGGAGTCCTGCGTTTCGTAATTTTCGTGCGTGGGATTGACTTGGGCTGCGTGTCGGAATCTGGTCGCCCAGCTGCAGGATGGGGCGCTTGACCAATCCGAACTGTAGGTGAGGTGGCGCTTGACTTCCGCCCACCTGCACTGTTCTTGGAGTTGAGTTGCTGCACTGTAACGATTGACTTCCGCCCACCTGCATTGCAGTTGGCAGCATTCGCTGCTGCACTGTTACAGAGGGGGAAGGGAGGTGAGGTCAGAGGAGGAAGGAAGATCCTGTGACCGGTGTGAGGGTTTGGAGGAGAAGGGTGACGGTAGGTGAGGTATGAGGGGGGGAGGTGCGTTGAGACGGGGAAGGGAGGTGAGGTCATCCAAGAAGAGAGGTGATCTGATAGGGGAAAGAAGGAGAGGACAGAGGGGGGAAGAAAGATGCGGTCCTATGGCAAGGAAAGAGGTGCTTAGGGAGGGGGGAAAAGGAGGTGCTGAGAGAGGGGGGAAGGGAGGTGCTGTGAGAGGGGGAAGGGAGGGACTTTCCCCGTCGGAATCCCCTAATCCCCCCCCCCCCCCCCCCGGTTTCCGATCATTACCCCCTGTAATTCCCCTCATTTCACCCTAGGGAAAGAGAGATGTGAAGAGAGGGGGAGGAGAGATGTGAAGAGAGGGGGAGGAGAGATGCAAAGACATCTCCTCCCTTCCCCACCTGCTTCTCATCCTTTCCCCCCGGTGCTACCCCTCCTTTCCCCCCGGTGCTACCCCTCCTTTCCCTCCCTGCTTCTCCTCCTTTTCCCCCCTGCTTCTCCTCCTTTCCCCCCAGTGCTACCCCTCCTTCCCTGCTTCCCCCCATCCCCTTCCCTGCTTTCCCCCATCCCCTTCCCTGCTTCCCCCCATCCCCTTCCCCGCTTCCCCCCATCCCCTTCCCTGCTTCCCCCCATCCCCTCCCCTTCTTCCCCCCATCCCCTCCCCTGCTTCACCCCATCCCCTTCCCTGCTTTTCCCCATCCCCTTCCCTGCTTCCCCCCATCCCCTTCCCTGCTTCCCCCCATCCCCTTCCCTGCTTCCCCCCATCCCCTTCCCTGCTTTCCCCCATCCCCTCCCCTCCTTCCCCCCATCCCCTCCCCTGCTTCCCCCCATCCCCTTCCCTGCTTCCCCCCATCCCCTTCCCTGCTTTTCCCCATCCCCTCCCCTGCTTCCCCCCATCCCCTTCCCTGCTCTCCCCCATCCCCTCCCCTTCTTCCCCCCATCCCCTCCCCTGCTTCCCCCCATCCCCTTCCCTGCTTCCCCCCATCCCCTTCCCTGCTTTTCCCCATCCCCTCCCCTGCTTCCCCCCATCCCCTTTCCTGCTTCCCCCCATCCCCTGGCACCCGCACTCTCACTCTCCTTCCGCCTGCACTCTCTCTCTCTTCGTCCTCTCGCACTCGCACTCTCCTTCCCACCACCCTCAGCCCTCCTTCCCCCCACCCTCTGCCCTGTTGCCACCTGCCCTCCCCATCCCTGCCTTTCCCTCCCTGCCCTGCGCTTCGCTTCCCCATCCCTTCTCAACCCTTCCCTTCCTTTTCATGCCCTCCCCTTCCCCCTCACTCCTCACCTTCCGCCCTTTAGTTCCCATGCACGTGCACCCATCACTGTCTCCCCATACATGCTTTCATCATGTGCGCTTGCTTGTGTTCCCTTGCAGTTGTTCCCTCGGCACCTCACACCACCTCCCCCATATTCCTTCACACAATTCTTTCTGCCTACTTGTCAAACATTAATCACATAGCCTATCTAGGCTGTAGTGGGGTAGACACTATGGGGTACAGTTTTCTAGGGTTTCATATTTGTACCCAACTCATTTCCTAGTCAATCATTCATTCCTGTTTCTTCACATGGTATAGAGTGGGTTCCCTAGCGGGACCGTTCCTTCCTAAGGGCCCACCGTCAATTTTTTTTTTTCCTACCTGCTCGAAGCACGCTTCGCGCTCTGCCCTACCCTCGATCTTCGCGGCCCCCTAGCGGCCTGTCCTGCCCTACGCGGCCCCCTTTGCGGCCCATTAGCGGCCCCCTTCGAGGCCCCGTTGCGACCCCGCCCCGGCCCTGCCCCGTCGCCCGAAGCCGCCGCGTCGCGGCCCGGCCCGTCGCCCCGTCGCCCGGCGCCCCGTCATCTCGGCCCGGCCCAGCCTGTCGCCCCGTCGTCCCGGCCCGGCCCTGCCCGTCGCCCCGTCGCCCAGCGCTGCCCTGGCCCTGCCCCGTCGCTCGTCGCGGCCCTGTCGCGGCCCGGCCTCGGCCCTGTCGCGGCCCTGTTCCGGCCTGTCGCAGCCCTGCCCCGACCCTGTCGCGGCCCTGTCCCGGACCTGTCGCGGCCCTGCCCCGGCCCTGTTGCGGCCCTGTCGCGGCTCTGCCCCGGCCCTGTCCCGGCCCTGCCCCGGCCCTGCCCCGGCCCTGCCCCGACCCTTCCCTGGCGCTGCCCCGGCCCTGCCCCGGACCTGTCGCAACCCTGCCCCGGCCCTGCCCCGGACCTGTTGCAGCCCTGCCCCGGCCCTCCCCCGGACCTGTCGCAGCCCTGCCCCGGACCTGTTGCGGCCCTGCCCCGGCCCTCCCCCGGCCCTGCCCCGGCCCCGCCCCTGGTAAGAGCACCGCCGAGCCGCGCTGCCGAGCCGCGCCGCGCCGCCGAGCCGCGCCGCCGAGCCGCGCCGCCCTGCCTAGCCGCGTCGCTTAGCTGAGTTACACTGCTGCTGCTGCTAGCCTGCTGCTGCTTCTGTCATGGCTAGTCCCAGTGTTCTTACCTTTGATGCTGAGGGTCGAGCGGTTGACTTCGACGTCTGGCTAGATGATCTGCAGCTTTTCCTACAGTGCGATAGCAAGGATGGTCTCTCACTGTTCGATCTCACGTCTAGCGCCTCTACTGCCCCTGCTGCTGATGCTGACAGTACTGTTCGCTCGCAGTGGACCACGCGCGATGCTGCTGCCCGCCTTGCTGTGCGTAGTCACCTACCGTCTACTGAGCGCGCGCACTTTAGTCAGTACAAGAGTGCTAAGACTTTGTACGACGCTGTAGTTGCACGCTACTCTTCCCCTGCCACTGCTGCTCTTAGCCGCCTCATGCTACCGTACCTGTTCCCTGACCTCGCCGCTTTTGCCACAGTCGCTGACCTCATTACACACCTCCGCACTAGTGACGCCCGCTACCGCGCTGCGCTTCCCGCCGAGTTCTGCGCCAAGAACCCCCCCCCCATGTACATCACCCTCTACTACCTAGTCACCCGGCTCCCTGACACCCTTCGCTCGGTCAGGGACCACTTCCTCTCTCTTTGCCCTACCACACTCACCGTTGACCTCCTCGAGGAGCGCCTCCTTGCAGCAGAGACTAGTATTACCGCTGTAGGAGCCTCTCGTGGTGACCCCCGTACCCCTTTCTTTGAGGGGTGCTCCCCCGTTCCTTTTTTGCCCTCCGTTGCCTCTGCTGCTGCTGTCGACCTTGTTGGCACCGAGTCGGTCAGTGCTGCGTCTGCTCCTAGCGAGAGACGCCGCAACGGCAAGGGCAAGCGGGGCAAGGGCACTGGAGGAGGTGGCGGGGGAGGAGGTAGTGGCGGTGGAGGCGGAGGAGGGGGTGGGGGTGGGGGTGGTGGCAGAGGTGGGGGCTTCGGTGGCAGCGGTGGAGGTGGAGGCGGCGGTGGCGGTGGCGGTTGGGGTGGAGGCGGTGGAGGCGGCAGCGGCGGAGGTGGAGCTGGTCGAGGCGGTACTGTGCAGCGGGGACCCCAGCAGCAGCAGCGCTCTCGTGAGACCCCGTCGCCCCAGCAGCTTCGTGAGTGGTACGCAGGGCGCCAGGGGTCTGGGGGTGCTGGTCCATGTGCCTACGTCCTGCGCACCGGCGACCGCACTGGAGAGTAGTGTGGCGGCCTGCACGCCACCCGGCGCTGCTTCGGCCGCCTGACAGACGCCTGGCGTACCCAGTTCCCTGACGCCACTGAGATCCCTCGCTGGGTTGATGTGCTCAGGTCGGGGGTAGCTATCTTTGATCTTGACTTTGATGCTATTCTTGCTGCCATGTATGCTGTGTCTATTAGTGCTGAGGGTGACTGTTACGTGTGTGTTCCGCCTGACCCGGGCATTGAGGCTGCTGCTCTAGGTGCTAGTGAGTCTGCTACTCCAGGTGCTGGTGAGTCTGCTCTCTCAGGTACTGCGTCGGCTCAGGTTTTGCACACCTTCACCCTCGACTCGGGTGCTTCCCGCTCCTTCTTTTGAGACCGCACCACTCTTACGCCGCTCAGTCGGCCGGTAGCGGTCTCCCTGGCAGACCCCTCTGGGGGTCCTGTCCTTGCCCACTACTCCACTGTCCTCCCGTGTCCGGCGGCCCCGTCAGGCTCCCTGTTCGGTCTCTACCTCCCCTCGTTCTCTACGAACTTGGTGAGTGGTGCTGACCTTCAGGATGGCGGGGTTGACCAGTTCACTCCTGCGAGTCAGCGAGTGACCCACTGCACGTGTGCTCAGACGGGCCGCCACTTGGCCACGTTTACCCGTCGACCGGGGTCGAGCCTGTACACACTGACCACAGAGTCTCCACCGGTTGCTGCGTCTGGTCAGGTAGCTGCGTCGAGTCAGGTGTTTGCCGCAGCGTCTCGGTCAGGTCCTGAGTCTGCCCCCTGCTCGTGTCGCCTCCTGTCCCACCAGACCCTCCTTTGGCACCACCGCCTTGGTCACCCCTCCTTGCCTCGTCTACGAGGCATGGCCTCCCGTGTCCTTGTCTCTGGTCTTCCCCGGTCCCTCCCTCCCCTTCCCCCCGGGCCTGCCCCTACCTGCGTTCCCTGCGTCGAGGGGCGGCAGCGCGCCGCTCCTCACTCCTCCGAGTTTCCCCCGACAGAGGCTCCGCTGCAGACTCTCCACATGGACGTGTGGAGCCCAGCCCGCGTCCGTGGACAGGGTCACGAGCGTTACTTCCTGCTGGTGGTTGACGACTACTCGCGTTACACCACTGTCTTCCCCTTGCGCCGCAAGGATGAGGTCACTGAGGTGTTGATCGACTGGATCCGCGTTGCTCGTCTCCAGCTCAGAGAGCGTTTCGGCTCGGACTTTCCTGTTCTGCGTCTGCACTCCGACAGAGGTGGAGAGTTTTCCTCCGACCTTCTGCGAGCCTTCTGTCGTGCGGAGGGCATCCGCCAGACGTTCACGCTTCCGGCCTCTCCACAACAAAATGGGATTGCTGAGCGCCGCATTGGCATGGTCATGGATGTCGCTCGTACGTCCATGATCCATGCGGCTGCTCCCCATTTTCTGTGGCCGTTCGCGGTTCAGTACGCGGCGCATCAGATCAACCTTCAGCCCCGGGTCTCCCTGCCGGAGACCTCCCCTACTCTGCGGTGGACGGGGAAGTATGGTGATGCGTCTGCGTTCCGTGTCTGGGGATCTCGAGCTTTCGTCCGAGACTTGTCTGCGGACAAGCTGTCCTCCCGTGCTGTTCCTGGCGTCTTCCTCGGCTTTCCCCCTGACGCGCCTGGTTGGCAGTTTTACCACCCCACCTCGCGTTGTGTTCTGTCCTCCCAGGACGTCACGTTTGACGAGTCGGTTCCGTACTACCGTCTCTTCCCCTACCGCGCTGCCCCCCTTCCCCCCCCGCCGCTCTTCCTCACGCCCGGTCCCCCCCCGGTAGACCCCCTCCCCCCTCAGGGTCCTGCCCCCTCAGGTGTGTCCCAGGTAGATGCAGTTGAGCCTGTCGAGGTAGCTGTTGACTCTGGTACTTCTGGGGGTGCTGAGCCTGAGCGTGCGGAGCCTGGGGGTGCTAGGCCTGGGGGTGCTGAGCCTGAGCGTGCGGAGCCTGGGGGTGTTGGGTCTGGGGGTGCTGAGCCTGAGCGTGTGGAGCCTGGGGGTGCTGAGCCTGGGGGTGCTGAGAGTGGGGGTGCGGAGCCTGCCGGTGCTGGACCTGGCGGTCCTTCGGGTGCTTTGTCCCGGCGGGAGCTACCCTCTCCACAGGAGCTGCGCGAGTGGTTTGCTCGGCGCTGGAGCCGTGCTGCTAGAGCTGGTGGTGCTGCCGGTGCTGGAGGTTCTACTGCTGCTGGGGGTGCTGGAGCCACGGGTCCCGGAGGTGCTCGTACTGGAGGTACTGGAGCTGCTGGGCCTGGTGGTGCTACTGGTGCTGGAGCTACTGGTGGAGCTGGAGCTGGCGGTGCTGCTGGAGTGGGTGATACTGGAGGTACTGGAGCCGAAGCTGCTGCGTCTGCCGGTGGTCCTGCTGGAGCTGGAGCTGCTGGAGGTACTAGAGCTGGAGGTGCTGCTGGAGCCGGTGCTCCTGTGGGTGCTAGAGTTGGCGTTCCTGGAGCTGCTGGAGGTACTACTGGTGCTGGTGGTGCTGCTGGAGTTGGAGCTGACGCTGGGGGTGCTGGTGTTGTCCCTGCTGGTTCTGGAGGTGCTGCACGGCCGCGGCCATACTTCGTTCCGCTCCTTGAGCAGGTTCTTGGTGTTCCGCCTTCTTCTGGTCCTACTCCTTCCTTAGAGTGTCCACCGCCTGTCCAGTCCGAGTCACAGTTACAGCTGGCCTCCCCTCTCCCTGCTCTTTCTCCCTACGCTGGTCCTACTGGAGGTCTTGCTGAGCGTCGTGAGCCTGAGTCGCGTCCTGCGTCACCTGTTCG